TAAAAAAAAAAGATACCCTATGCCCTGCAAAAAATGTCAAACGTAATATTTTACATGTCACTTCAGCAATAAGTGAGAAAGATGTATGTAACGTGAGGCCAGGTAACACCTCTCTGTCCTTCCTCCAATCCCACCTTGCAGAGCTACTGGAAGAAGAATTTGATTTATAACCTCACATAGATTTGTCATGGCTCCTATAAAGTAACAGTAAAAATTAATGGCATATATGAAAAACATATTCTTTTGTTAATCAAAGTAGAAGAATCTTCTATATGTTATTTTGTAATTTCTAAAATTTGAGTAAATATGCAGTCATATACATTAGTAGATGTAAATCTAACTCTGTTTATTTGCCTGCTTTCTTTATTCATATACATATATTTGCACAGAAATGGGATCATATCCTGTATTTGGAGCTTCATAATTTAGTTGTTGTATAGTTATAATGTTTCTGTTATTTAATAACATTAACACACCACGTTAGCAGTTAGATTCTTTAAATGTAAGTGAAGCGTCCTATTGACTATGCATTTCCTGTGCCCGGAATCAACCAATGGAATGCTCTTCACTGAGGATCAGAGAATTCCTGTCAGTGACCAGGCTGTGTGGTGATCACTGCCAAATGCTCTCAGTGACTCAGGAACTCCCACCTTGCCATCCAGGGCTGCCAAGATGAAGATGGATTGACCTAGGGTTCCCATCACAGTCTTCAACAATAAACTCGATTTAGACAATGAGAGAATTGAGAACACATGAGTTTAAAAGCTGCTAAGTACATGAACTGAGGGTCAGTGGGTAAAGCAATCTTAGGAGGATGGTGCTGAATTGGTGAGAAGGAAACAAATGGGATGAGGTAGGAAAATGAGATGATTGAAATGGCAATTTTGGAAGGAGCTCTCTGGTGTCTCACTGCACAGATGGGAGTTACTGAAGTGCGTCTGAAAAGTGTTGGAGGGAAAAATTACGGCAAGTGAGGAGGTCGGGAGACTAAGACACCAAAGCCCTGTAGAAAGTGTCTGTGATGATGACATCTCCAATGGTGACAACATTTTGGGGGAGGTGGGGGAAGAAGTGAATGAGGATGGAAATGATGGTAGAGAAGTAGCAATAAGTTCAGCAACAAAGAGCAATGTTCTGAGGCCATGTGAGGAGTGGGTATTGAAGCCGGGGAGAGGGGGCTGGTCTGGAAGGAGCAAGGAGGACCCAGGAGGATAAAGAATGCACTGAATTTGGACATCATATGTTTGATTGTATGTTTTGAAATAAACACAGAAGAAATTATATTGCATATCCATCTTAAAGTTCAGAGCACCTTAATGCTGTGAATTAAGACAATGATAAGTAAAATTTGGCTGCATGATAGAACCCTAAAAACAGGTGTGTGTTGGGGAGAAATTCTGTCAACACCTCAGAGGGAGAGGAGAATGGAGGTCTGGGGAGTCATTACCAGGAGCTCATATGGTTTAGATGGAGAAGTAAGTGCAGGAAGGCCAGAAATGGGTAACTTAGTTCTGTCTCTCAGGTGTGGAGAGAGTTGAGCCCACAGACAGTGTGTGAGGAAAACCTAAAGCCCATTTTCTACATTGTTCCCTCCACAGGGGTTTCTCTGTTCATACCTTTTGCTTTCTGTCCGTGTCATGCCCCAAACCCACACATGTCTCTTGGTGCAAGCAGAGCAGACAACTCTCTTACACAGGACACCTCGGAGCTGATGAGAGAAGGGGAAGCAGGAGGTTTCTGCACAGGAAGGTGGTGACTGTGCAGCGCTGTGGCTAAGCTGCTGGCACAGAGGTACGTGGCTGAGTCCTCTGGTTCTGTGGGCTGGATCTTCAGAGTGGAGAACAACTTGTTAGGCATCTGAGCTGGGAATCGCTCCTTGGGCATCCCAGTCTCATCTACAATAGTTTGACTGCGAAAGTAAATCATAAACTCCGGTCCTTGCACTAAGGTCTGTCTGTACCAGTAAAGGCCCTCATGGCCTGAAATTGGCTGACAACTCAGAGTCACTCCCTGTCCGCTTGTTGTTACTTTGTGCCTGGGTGTCTGAGTGACTCCAGCACGTGTGGGTTCTGTGAAAAAGGACAGAGATTGGTAACAGGATAAGGTGCATAAATGAACACAGAATGAGGAATATCCAGAAATGCAGATTCTTCATTTCTGGGGACTCACCTACTCCCAGGAGACAAAGGGCCACCCAGCAGAGAAGTCTGGTGGCCATGGCAGGGTGGGGCTGAAGGAAGCTTCCCTTAGAAGGGGCTGTTGTGAGCCTGAACACAGAGGCAGGGCTTCTGGTTCCTCTCAGCTCCACAAGGTGGAGACTTGCTTACTAGTTTCAGAGTTCTCTGTGATTTCTCACAGCATCTCCTCCCCAATGTGAATATTAATCCTCTTCAGAGGCATTGACTGGAATAGGCCATGTCTCTTCTGAGATTTGTTTGGATCATTCAAAGTCTCCAAGACTTTTTAACAATAGTCACCTTACACAACCTGTGCTTCAATTATACTTTATTCTCTGCCGATACACATGTCTACTGTCTCCTGGGCATATCAGTGTGGGTGTGTCAATGGCACTGCAGAATCTGGGCCCCAAGACAGTACTTCTAGTCTCATATCCTTCATACTCCTCTCAAGACAGTCCCTGACTCCCAGACACACAAATCTAAACAATTCCTGGCTGAGCTGCAGCTTTCACCCAATCCCTCTTAGAAGCATTTTGATTGGCCACCACGATCATTATGAAAGGAACTATACAAATGCCCTGGGAATAAAGGGTTCAATTTACCAAGGGTGGACATTATAGTGTTAACTCTTTAATGGGGTTTAGATAATGTGAGAAATAAGACATGAGCATTTCAGAGTAGTTGGATAAGTGAGGGCAGGTCAGTGACTCTAAATAACATAGGAGGATGATTTTGTTAAAGAAAGAAGGGAGAAATAGGAGCATGGAATGATAAAATGGAAATTATGGAAAGAGCTTATTTGTTCTTCACTCCATGCTCCAGATGTGGAAAGTGCACTTGGAAAATATTGGAGGCACAATATTATTGACAGTGAGGATGTCAGGAAACTGAGAAGCCAAACCACATATAAATTGTTCGTGTGATGGTGATGACGGCACCAGTGATGGGAGGATCAGCAGTGAGGGAGGAAGTGAACGAGGACAGGTCTGATTGTAGAGAAGTAAGTTTAGCAACAAAAACCAACATTCTAATCCATGTGTGTGAAGAATTGGGTATGAAAACCTAGGAGAGGAAAATGTTCAGGAAGCAGCAGGTAGGGATGAGGAGGACAAACAATGTATTAAATTGAACATGGGAACAGCTTATGCCTTTCATATAAATGTTAATGGTTGTATATGCTTTCATATAAATGTTAATGGTTGAATTACATCTTCATTTCTAGAGACTCACCTACTCCCAGGACAAAGGGCCACCCAGCATAGGAGCCTGGTGGCCATGGCAGGGGAGGGCAGGAAGAGATTCTACTCAGGCAAGACTGTTGTGAGCCTGAGTACAGGGCCAGGGCTTCTTGTTCCCCTGGGCTTCACAAGGTGAAATATGTCTTAGTAGTGACATCACTCTCTGTGTTTTCTCATAGAACCTCCTCCCAATGATGAATATTAACCCTCTTCAGTTGAATTGACTGAAATAGGTCATGTCTCTTTTGGGGCTGTTTGAGCCATTCATCGTCTCCAAGATTTTCATCAATCGTCATTTCCCACAACACCGTGATTCCACCATTCCTTGTTCTCTGCTATATCACATGCCTGCTTTCTGTTGGGCATTTCCAAGTGTGTGTGCCTTTGACACTGCAGATTCTGGTCACCAACACAGTACTTCAATCTTCATGTCCTTCATACTCCTCTAAAAGCACTTCTTCACTCCCAGACACACAAATCTAAATAATTTCTGGCTGGGCTGTGACTTTTACCCAATCCAACCAAGCTGAATTTAAATTAGACTCAATGGTGATTATGAAGATACATAAACAAAGGACCTGGGAAAGGAGCATTGGACTGAACCAGAGCTGATTTTATAGTACTAGTCCTTGTACCTGGTTTAGATAATGTGAGAAATAACACGTGAGAGTTTCAGAGCAGTTGGATGTATGGGCTGAAGTTCAGTGACTGTAAGAATCATAGAAAGCAGATTTTGCATTAAAGAAAAAAAGGAGAAAGAGATAGGAGTGTGGAATGATGAAGTGGACTTTTTGGAAGCAGAGTCTTTGTTGTTCATTCCATGGTTTAGACTTGGAGTTGGTCTTGAAAAAGATTGGAGATAAATTTTACAGAAAGTTATGAGGTCAGGAAACCGAAAAGCCAAACACATGTATAAATTGTGCACATGATAACCACATCACCAGTGGTGGCAGGATCCGTAGTGAGAAGGGAAGTGAATGAGGACAGATGTCATGTAGAGAATGCAGGGCAACAAGAAAGATAAGAGAATGCAGGCCAACAAGAAAGACAATATTCTAATCCATGTTCTCAGGAGCTGGGTATTAAAGCCAGAGAGAGGAGATGTTCTAGAAACAGTAGATGGGATTGGGAGGACGAAGAATGCACTGAAATTGAACAGAGGAGCAGAATATGCCTCTTGGCATTCACAGTGGGTATTTTATTCTATTTCCAACTTTAAGATCAGCATCCCTGAAAAGAAAAAGGACAATAACAAGTGGAATTTGGCTATAAGACAGACTCTAGAAAACGTGTGTGTGTGTGTGTGTGTGGTGTGTGTGTGGTCATTTGGTTATTCTGTTAGGAGATTATAAGGAAAGGAGAATGAAGGGCTGAGGAGCCAATACCAGAAGCTCCCATGGTTTAGATGGAGCGGCCAGTGCAGGAAGGCAAGAAAGTGTACACTGTGGGTAACTAAGTCTGTCTGTCAGGTGTGGAGAGTGCTGAGCTCACAAACAATGTGTGAGGAAAATCTAAAACCCATTTCCTACCTAGTTGCCTAAGCAGGGTTCTCTCTGTTGAGACCTTTTCCTTTTTTCCCTTGTCATGCCCCAAACCACACATTGTCTCTTGGTGACAGCAAAGCAGAGAAAACTTTTACACAGGGCACCTGGGGGCTGGTGAGAGAAGGGGAAGCAGGAGGTTTCTGCACAGGGAGGGGGTGACTGTGCAGTGCTGTGGCTAAGCTGCTGGAACAGAGGTACAGGGCTGAGTCCTCGGGTTCAGTGGGCTGGATCTTCAGAGTGGAGAGTGACCCGTTAGGCATCTGAGCTGAGAATCGGGCATTGGGCAGCCCTGTCTGGTCCAGAGGTTTTTCATAGCTGAAGTACATCATAAACTCCAGTCCTTTCACTGAGATCTGTCTATACCAGTAGAGGTTGTCATGGCCTGAAATTGGCTCACAACTCATAGTTACATCTTGTCCCCTCTTTGTCACCTTGTACCTGGGTGTCTGGGTGACACCAGCATGTGTGGGCTCTGTGGAAGACAACAGAGTTTGGAAACAAGATACGGGACATAAATGGGAACATAACTGAGAATATCAACAAAATGCAGATTCTTAACTTCCAGGGACTCACCTCCTCCCAGGAGAGAAAGGGCCACCCAGCAGAGGAGCCTGGTGGCCATTGCAGGGTGGGGCAGGAGGAAACTTCACCCAGACCAGGCCCTCGTGAGCCTGAACAGAGTCCCAGCTTCTGGTTCCTCTGGGCTCCACAAGGTGGAGTGTATCTTGGTAGTGACACAGCTCTCTGTCATTTCTCATAGGTCCTCCTCCCAAAGGGCAATGTTAATGCTCTTCAGTTGATTTGACTGGAATGGGTCATGTCTCTTTTCGGGTTTGTTTGGGCCATTTAAAGTCTCTAAGACTTTCATCAATATTCACCTCACACAACCCTGTGCTTTCACCATTGCTTGTTCTTGCCACGTCCATTGTCTACCGTCTCCTTGGAATAGTGGCATGCATGTGCCATCAGCTCTGCAGAATCTGGGCCCCAAGATAGTACTTCCAGTCTCACCTCCTTCATACTCCTCTTAAGGTACTTTCTGACTTCAAGACACACAAATCTAAATAATTTCTGGCTGACCTGGGCTTTTCCCCAATTCCTCCAAGGAGAATTTAGATGGGAAGAATGGGTGACTATGAAGACACATAAACAGATGCCCTGGGAAAGGAGGTTTGGACTTAACCAGGGTTGACTTTATAGTACTAATCCTTGTATCTGGTCTAGATTTTGTGAGAAATAAGATGTGAAAGTTTCGAAGCAGTTGGGTCTATGGGCTGATGTTCAGAGACTATTAGAATCATGGGAATTGTATTTTGCATTAAAGAAAGAAACAAAAAGAGATGGGAGCACAGAATGATGAAATAGAAATTTTGAAAACAGATTATTTGTTGTTCACTCCATGATCTAGACTTGGAAGTGCTCTTGGATAAGACTGGAGGCAAAATGTTAGTGAAAGGAAGGATGTCAAGAAACTGAGAAGCCAAACAGGTGTATAAATTGATCACAGGATGATGATGTCCCCAGTGGTGGCAAAGTCAGTAGTGGGAAGGAAGAGAATGAGGACAGATCTGAGGGTACAGAAGTCAGGGAAACATGAAAGGCAGTATTTTAATCCATGTGTGTGAGGAGCTGGGTATTAAAGCCAGGGAGAGGGGAATGTTCTAGAATAAGTAGGTAGGATTTGAAGGAGCAAGTATATAGTGAAATTGAACAGAGAAGCAGATTACGTCTTTTGGTATCAAAGCAGCAATTTTATTATATTTCCAACTTGAAGATCTGGGCCCCTGGATGACAAAAAGTACAGCAACAAATGGAATTTTGCTATAAGACAGACTTTAGAAAGTGTGTGTGTGTGTGTGTGTGTGTGTGTGTGTGTGTGTGTGTGTGTGTGTGTGTACATGAAGGGATTCTGTTAGCAGCTGAGGAGTAGAGAATAAAGGCTGAGGAACCCTTACCAGGAGCTCCTACATTTCATATGGAGCAGCCGGAGCAGGAAGGCAGGAATGTGCGCAGCGTGGGTAACTGAGGTCTGTCTCTCAGGTGTGCAGAGTGTTGAGCCCACAGACAGTGTGTGAGGGACACCTAAAGCTCATGTGCTACATTGTTTCTTTCACTGGGGTTTCTCTGTTGATACCTTTTCCTTTCTGTCCTTGTTATATCCCCAACCCACACATGTCTCTTGGTGACTTCAGAGCAGAGAAGACTTTTATTCATGACACCTGGGGGCTGGTGAGAGAAGGGGAAGCAGGAGGTTTCTGCACAGGGAGGGGATGCCTGTGCTGCGCTGTGGCTAAGCTGCTGGCACAGAGGTACAGGGCTGAGTCCTCCGGTTCTGTGCGCTGGATCTTCAGAGTGGAGAGCGACCCATTAGGCATATGAGCTGAGAATCGCTTGTTGGGCATCCCGGTCTCATCTATAATACTTTGACTGCTGAAATAAATCATAAACTCTAGTCCCCTCACTGAGGTCTGTCTGTACCAGTAAAGGTAGGTATGGCCTGAGATTGGCACACAACTCAGAGTCACTCCTTGTCCCCTCTTTGTCACCTTGTACCTGGGTGTCTGGGTGACTCCAGCATGTGTGGGCTCTGTGGAAGACAACAGAGTTTGGAACAGGATAAGAAACAGAAATGAAAATAGAACTGAAAATATTTTTAAAAGTGCTGATTCTTAATCTCTGAGGATTCACCTACTCCCAGGAGACAAAGGGCCACCCAGCAGAGGAGCCTGGTGGCCATGGCAGGGCGGGGCAGGAGGAGGCTTCACCAAGATCAGGCCCTCGTGAGCCCGAACACAGGGGCTGGGCTTCTGGTTCCTTTGTTTTCCATAAGGTGGAGAGTGACATCTCTCTCTGTCACTGCTCATGGGACTTCCTCCCAAAGGTGAACATCAATTCTGTGCAGCAGATCACTGGTACAGTCACATGTGACCTGGGACCTGGCCCCGCACATGGGTTCTTTGTGGTGAGAATCACCAGTTGTCTCTCTGGCCTTGACCACCCCTCACTGTGCTGACTTCACACAAATCTTTTTTCATGGCTGAGAATTCTCCATTAAAAAAAAAAGATACCCTATGCCCTGCAGGATAATTCAAAAGCAATATTTTACATGTTACTTTAGCAGTAAGTAACAGATGTCTATAATGCGAAGCTAGATAACGCCTGTCTTTCTCTAATCCCACCTTGCAGAACTACTGGAAGAAGAATTTGATTTATAACCTCACATAGATTTGTCATGGCTTCTGTAAATTTGTAGTAAAAGTTTATTGCATATATGAAAGACATGTTCTTTTTTAAATCAAAATAGAAGTATCTTCTGTATTTTATTTGGTAATTTCTAAAATTTGAGCACAGCAGTAGATTTACACCAGTAGATTTAAATCTAACTCTATTTACTTGCCTGCTTTCTTTATTCTTATAGATATATTTTTCTATGAATGGGACCATATTCTATATTTTGAGCTTCATTATTTAATTATTGTGTGGTTATTAAGTTTTTATTATTTAATAAATACACACTAACAGACTAGGTGAGCAGAAAGAAACTATTTAAATGTAAGCAAAGTATCCTGTTGACCTATGCATTTCCTGTGCACAGCAGGAAACCAATGGAATGCTCTTCACTGAGGATCAGAGAATTCCTGTCAGTGACCAGTCTGTGTTGTGATCACCGCCAAATGCTCTCTGTTGACTTAGAAACTCCCACTTAGCCATCCATAGCTGTCCAGAGGGAATTGGGATTTTTCAAGGTTGACACTATGAGTCTTAAACCTCTAACTCAGTTTAGACAATGTGAGAATTAAGAACATATGAGTTTACAGGTTGTTAAAGGTTGTTGAACTGAGGGTCAATGGCTGAAGGAATCTCGAAAGGCTGGTGCTGATTTTAGTACTCCTAAGGATTAAATGATGAGGTAGGAGAATGAGATGATTGAAATGGCAATGTTGGATGGAGCTCATTGGTGTCTCATTGCATGATCTGGAAGTGCAATACTGAAGTGCATCTGAAAAGTGTTGGAGGGAAAAATTATTGAAAGTAAGGAGTTCAAAAAACTGAGACACCAAACTCCTGTAGAAAGTGTCTGTGCGATGATGACGTCTCTAATGCTGACAGCTTTACTGATGGGGAGAAGAAGTGAATGAGGACAGATCTGACAGTAAAGAAGTAGCAGTAAGTTTAGAAACAAGGGTCAATGTTCTGATGCCATGTGTATGAGTAGTGGGTATTGAAGCCGGGAGAGGGGACTGACTGGTCTGAGAGGAGCAGGGAGGACCCAGGATGATAACCAGTGCACTGAACAGGACATCGCATGTTTGATTCTATCTCTTGGCATAAACGCAGTAGAAATTTTATTGCATTTCCATTTTAAAGGTCATAGCATCTAAGTGTCAAAATGGAAGACAGTCACAAGTGGAATTTGGTTATGTGAGAGAACTTAAAAAAGCTTGTATGGGCCCTGACTGGTGTGGCTCCTGTGTGTTGGGTATTATCCTGCAAAGCAAAAGTGGCCAATTTGATTCCCAGTTGGGACACATGCCTGGGTTGTTTGTATGAGAGGCAACTATGCATTGATGTTTCCCTCCCTCTCTTTCTCACTCCTTCCCCCTCTCTAAAAATCAATAAAGTCTTTTTTTAAAAAAGCACGTGTTTGTTTGTTGGGGGGAAATTCTGTTAGCAGCTTAGAGGGAGAGAAGAATGGAGGGCTGGGGAGCCATTATCAGGAGCTCCTACCATTCAGATGGAGAGGCTGGTGCAGGAAGGCAGGAAAAGGCACAGTGTGGGTTACTAAGGTTTATCTCCCAGGTGTGGTAAGTATTGAGTCCACAGACAGTTTCTGAGAAACCCCCAAACCCATTTCCTCAATTGTTTTCTGTGCTGGGGTTTCTAGCTTTATACCTTATCCTTTCTGGCCTTGTTATGTTCCAAACCCACATACATCTCTTAGTGTGAGAGGAGCAGAGAGACTTCCACTCAGGACACCTGGAGACCAATGAGAGAAGGAGAAGCAAGAGGTTTCTGCACAGGGAGGGGGTGACTGTGCAGCGCTGTGGCTAAGCTGCTGGCACAGAGGTACAGGGCTGAGTCCTCGGGTTCTGTGGGCTGGATCTTCAGAGTGGAGAATGACTTGTTAGGCATCTGAGCTGAGAATCGGGCTTTGGGAAGCCCTTTCTGGTCCAGAGGATTTTGACTGAGGAAGTAAATCAGAAACTTTATGCCCTCCACTGAGGTCTGTCTATACCAGTAAAGTTCATCATGGCCTGAGATTGGCACACAACTCAGAGTCACTTCTTGTCCCCTCTTTGTCACCTTGTGCCTGGGTGTCTGGGTGACTCCAGCATGTGTGGGCTCTGTGGAAGAGGACAGAGTTTGGGACAGGATAAGGGACATAAATGAAAATAGAACTGAAAATATTTTTAAAAAGTGCCAATTCTTAATCTCTGAGGACTCACCTACTCCCAGGAGACAAAGGGCCACCCAGCAGAGGAGCCTAGTGGCCATGGCAGGGTGGAGGAGGAGGAGGCTTCACCCAAATGAGGCTCTTGTAAGCAAGACGGAGGGGCAGGCTTCTTGTTCTTCTGGGCTTCATAAGGTGGAGAGTGACATCGCTCTCTGTCATTTCTCATAGGTCCTCCTCCCAAAGGTAAATATTAATCCTCTCAGAAGAATTGACTGGGATAAGTCATGTGTTCTGTGGGTTTGGTTGGAC